CCCTTAAATCTTGGCTCTCAGGAGGCAGAGGCAGGCAGACCTCTATGAATTTGAGTCTAGCCTGGTCTACAGAGTGAGTTCCAGGACAGCCAGGACAGTTACAGAGAAACCTTGTCTCAAAAAACCAAACCAAACAAAACAAAATAAAAAAAAAACTTAGTACATTGTAAGAGTGCAGTGGGGCCGGGCGGTGGTGGCGCACGCCTTTAATCCCAGCACTCGGGAGGCAGAGGCAGGTGGATCTTTGTGAGTTCGAGGCCAGCCTGGGCTACCAAGTGAGTTCCAGGAAAGGCGCAAAGCTACACAGAGAAACCCTGTCTCGAAAAACCAAAAAAAAAAAAAAAAAAAGAGTGCAGTGGGCACTGTATTTAACCAAAACACCTACCTTTTTGTTTGTTTGAGACAGGATCTTGCTACATATTTCAGAGTGGCTTTGAACTTAGGATCCTTCTGTCTCTAGTCTCCCTAAATGCCAAGATTACAGGCATACACCACCATGACTGGCACAATTTCATACTGCCAATGATATGTGTTATTTATAATTGGGTGTTTGCAGGGCATAGGGTGCTCACATCAATGAAGTATATGATCACTCAGTTAATATATTCACACACACATATACACACATATATATTACATGTATATATACATATATATAATGTATGTTTTCCATTGTTTATAATTATTTCCAGTATCAATTTTATTTGTATATTTATTTTGTTATTTTAAAAATATTTTAGCTGGGTAGCACATGCCTTTAATTCCAGAACTCAGGAGGCAGAGGCAGGCAGATCTCTGTGAGTGCAAAGTCAGTCTGGTCTACATAGTGTCCTAGACCACCCAGAGCTACAAATCGAGACCCTATTTAAAAAAAAATATTTTTTTTAATTGTGTGTGTGCTTGTGAGTGTCAGCTAAGAACAGGGAGGGCATTCGACTTCCCTAGAGCTAGAGGTACAAGCAGTTGTGAGCTGCCTTATATAGGTGTTAAGAACCTAACTAGGGCCTTCATCCAGTAACTGATGGAAGCAGATACAGAAATCCACAGCCAGCACAGGAGTCCAGTGGAAGAGAGGGAAGAGGAATTCTATGACTAAGGAGGGTCAAGATCATGATGGGGAAAATTAGAGACAACTGAACCAAGCTAGTGGGAACTCACGAACTTTAGACCGACAGCTGTGGAGCCTCCATGGGACTGGACTAGGCCCTCTGCACATGGGAGACAGTTGTGTAGCTTGGTCTGTTTGAGGGCACCCCCGGCAGTGAGATCAGGATCTATCCCTAGTGCATGAGCTGGCTTTCTGGATCCCATTACCTATGGTGGGACACCTTGCACAGCCTTGATGCAAGGGGGGGGGGCGCTTGGTCCTGTCTCAACTGAATGTACCAGGCTTTGCTGACTCCCCATGGGAGGTCTTTTCGGAGGAGGGGATGGGGGTGGGTAGTTGGGGAAGGCTGTGGGGGAGAAGAAGGGATGAGAGGAGAATCTGTGGTTGGTATGTAAAATGAACAAAAAATTTCTTAATAAAGAAAAAAAAAAACCTAACTAGGGTTCTCTGCAAGAGCAGTAAGTCAGCGTGAGGGTGTTGAATCCCAGGGAGTTGGAGTTACAGACAGTTGTGAGCTGCTATGTAGGTGCTAGGAAGCGAACCTGGGTCCTTTTGAAGAGCAGCCAGTGTTCTTTAACCACTGAGCCATTGCTCTAGCCCCTTGTTTTATAGGTTTTCTTGAGACAGTGCTTCATGATGTAGCCCAAGCTAGCCCTGAACTCCCAAATAGCCCAGGCTGGCCTTGAACTGGACCAATCCTCTTGCTTCAGCATCCTGAGTGCTGAGATTACAGGAGTGAGCTAGCTAGCATGCCTAGCTTTAGTGAATTAATTATTGGTGCTGGCAGTGTAGCACAGAGTCTTAAGCATGCCAAACATATGCTGAGCTAGACCCCAGCCCAATATTTATTGCACATTTACATCACATCCTGGTTTCCAATAATATTTTTTTTTTTTTGAGACAGGGTTTCTCTGTGTAGCTTTGGAACCTGTCCTGGAACTCACTGTAGGCCAGGCTGGCCTCGAACTCACAGAGATCCGCCTGGCTCTGCCTCCCTAGTGCTGGGATTCAAGGCATGCGACATCACCGCCCGGCTCTAATAAGAATTTTTAATCTTTTAGGGTTTACCAGTAGCCCCACTTTACAGATGAGGCTCAAAGAGGTGAGTTCACTTGTTTTAGGTCAGAGAGAGGGTAGCAGAGTTAGGGTTGCCACTCAGGTCTGTTTTCCTGGTGGGAAGAGGGGACACTGGGCCTGTTACTGATCTATTTCAAACAGTGAAGTGCAGGCAAAACTGGAATTATACAGACCTGGATACTAATTGTACAGGCTTGGATACCAATCCCAGCACTTCCTCGCTATAGGACTTTGGCAGAATGATTTCCCCTATAAGAAAGAGCCTTTTATTTTTCATCTGTGATGGAAGTTACAGTAGTAACCCCCTCATTGGGAGTATGAAGATGCCTCAGACAATACTTGGCTCAGAGCCTGGCACATCGTGAGCACTCAGAATTGAGAGCTGTTATTGTAACAATGGTGATTATTGCTGGACCACGCTGCTCCCGGAGGGTGACATATCCGTGGGGAGCTGCACTGTCCGTAGGCAAGGTTACATAATTCCCCAAGGGGGTGACACTTCCCTGGAGGCCAATGGTCTCCCTAAGGAGGCGCATGAGACGTCTCTGAAGCACTGGTGAGCTAGTTTAAAGGCTAAATGGGAACCCAGCAACGGAGAAGTTTGGGGCTGAAGCACTAAGAACCTATAGCCTGAACCCGATGGGCCCTCCCTCTTTCCGGCTGAGTCTGATTCATCATCTTTTCAGTCTCCTAGCCCTACATCGCTTTGCTAACTCCGGTTTATTTTTCATTTTCCCTGAGACTGTGTTTATGCTTAGCTTGTGAAAATATAGCTTCTGCTTGCCCTCTACCCCGCTGCAGGCTGCCTACCTGCATCCGATCGGTACCCCGATTTCCTGTTTCCCAGCCTCAGGCTCCATCCATTCCTCCCATCTGCTGCAGAGAACACAGACTTAACACTTCCCCTACGCTCAGGCCTTTGGTCTTAAGCCCTGTCTTCCTCTCACCCCCAAATGCTCCTCCGGAGCACATTTGTTCAGACTTGGGTCGCCCCCAGCATCCTGGCTCTATCTCCGGAACCCCCTGCTCCAAGTGTGGAGGTGGGGGTACCTCCGGCCGCGCTCCCAGGACAGCTGCAGCCTGAGGACGGTGATGATTGTGGGGGCTCCCGAATGCATCCTCTGGTCACTTCCTCCCCAGCTGGACTGGGTCTATCAGGAAGGCCAAGACCCCATCACCACGGGAGCCGAGGGTACAGCCGCCTCCCCATTTCCGATGCTGGGAAATGTTTCCCACCCATTCCACCCCACCCCTGGACAGCTGCCCTCTTTCAGGCTCGGGGTTGAGGGGGGTTGGGTAAACCCAGGCTGGGAAATGGCTATGCTCTTGATCATTCTCCAAGATCCAGACTCCGCCCCCTGCGGAGAAGATTCTGCCCCTTCCCCACAAAAATTTCTGATCGTCCCCCTTCATAAAATTCCTTTCCTCCGAAAGGTCCCAAAAGAAACTCTGGAGCCAGGAAAAGGCAGAAGGGAGGCAGCAGGTAGTGAGTGCTGAAGACTTAAGTTCTGCTGACTTAGAGCCTCCAAGAAGGGTCGTGACCCCCAGGACCCCCCAGCCCCTCCCCGCCCTCTTCTTCCTCCCTCCCCCGCCGCGCGGCCCCTTTAAGCCAAGAGCCGGCCAGTCCTTAGTGGCTGCGCGCCGGCAAGCGTGTGTGAGTGCGCGGGAGGGGGCGGGCACAGTGTCTCCATGGCGACGCGGTGGTGACGTCGCCGGCCGGGGGGCGTGGGCGTCCCGGCCCCGGAGTGCGATATTAACCCGGGAGGCGGCGGCGGGGAGGGGAGAGGCTCTGAGAGGCGAGGCCGGGTGCGGCGGCGAGGGCGTCCCAACGGGCGCGGGACGGGACGGGGCAACGCGGGCACCAGGAGCAGCGGCCCGGAGTCGGGGCGCCTTGCCCCGGGCCCCCCAGCATGAAGACCCCGGCGGACACAGGTGGGGGCGGGGGCAGCACGTGTGGGGGAGACTTGTTGCCCCGGGAAACCGGGAGGAAAAACTTTGGGCGGGGGCTGAAGGGGTTCAGGGGGAGCCCGATTGATCCCCAGTTCTGGGGGACCCCCGAGCACTCGAGACCTGTTGCTTCTCGCGGCGCGAGCTGGGGTGCTGCCTGGGAGCCCCAATTCCGTGGATCCTTTTGGAATGCTGCGGGTGCTGCGGGTGCTTGCCTTTCCCTTGCCGGGACCCGGCAACCTGGGCTCTCACGGATCCTTGGGGTGGCGGAGTCCCTCCCTGTCGTTCTGTCACGTTGCACTCCGGGGGCCGGGACGTGTGCGGGACGAGGGGGGGGTTTCGGTACAGGGGCCGCTGTGCTCGGTTCTGCGCTGCGCGGTCCGGCCCGTGACCTTCACGGCGGCGCGTGCCCCGCACCGGGTGAGCGGGATACTGGATGGCCTGGAGCAGGGCGTGAGTGGGGAGCACGGGACTCGGGGTCCGAGCTGCACCGCCCCTCCCCCGTCTGCCTCCTCGCTCCCCCGCCCGCGCTGAGTCGCAAAGTTCCAAAGCGCAGCCCGAACGTTCGAAAAAGGAACTTTTTGTTTCCGACCTTAGAACGCGCCGCTTTAAGGTGGCTCAGGGGAGACCTGGGTACCCTCCTCCGGCGCGGGCGGAGGCCGGGAGTTGAGAAGGGTGGGAAAGATTGGGAGGGGGGGGGGAGAATGCAGAGGCTCCCTCATCGTCCTTCCCCCTCCTCGATCCTGCTCCTCTCTTTCAGCGGGCCGTCTTTTCCTCCGCCCCTCTCTTCCCCGCCAAGTTGCTCCTCCTTAAGGGGCCAGGGTTCCCCTCCCCCCCCCCGTTCGCTGGGCGGGGGGCAGCAGGATTAACCCCCCTCCCACTCGGACTTTTCCCCCATCCCCTCCCCCGCCGCCCCCGGGCTTGCACAGGCTGGACTTTGCGCCCGGGCGTGCGGGGGGGTGGTGGTGGCGGCGGTGGAGGGGGCCTCGCCGCCCCCTGCCCGTCTGCCCCGTCGGAATCCGGCCTGGGGCGGGGACGAGGGAGGGGGGGAAGGGGGCCGGGCGCCGCTGTTCAAACTTGTTTCCTTCCCCCGGCGGCGGCCGCGGCTCGGGCTCCTATGTGCGGGTGTGTGCCCTGACCGGCCCACCCACCCCACCTCCCTGCTCGGCGGGTGGGGGCGGCTCTTAAAGGGCTCGGAGTGGGGCTCCGGCGCCAGGGGATTGGGGCCGAGGAGGGGGCGGGGGTGGGGCAGGGGTGCGCTGTGCCGTAGGGTCAGTCACGTGCGTCCCACTTACTCCCCGACTCCCACTGGCTCACGGGCTGCCGGGCCCTGGGGGCAGCCGGAGCCTCGCCTCGCCCGGGGAGGGGACCGAGGCGCCCAGACAACCCCGCCTTGTCTTCCCTCTGCGTTACGGGCCTTGGCTTGACGGGACCTGTAGGGCCAGTGCAACCCTGCCTGGGGTCCTGGTCGCGTGTAGCTTCTCAGGGGAAGGCGGGGGACCAGAACGGCCTCCAGGTCGGTCTGTCTCTCCGACTGCCGGCCCCCGCGCGCCCCTCCATCCGATCCTCCATCCCGGCGCTTCTCGACTCCGCCGTGGCTGTTTCCCACTTCCTGTTTTCTTCCCGGCTCTGGCGCCATCGAGGTCTGCCTGGAGTGGGGGAGGTGTTCAGGCCCCCCGGGAGGCAGGCGTATTTTTCCTCGACCCCCCCCCCCTCCTATCTGACCCCTATAATCCCATAAGGAAAAAGTTTAGGCATTTATGTTAAGTTGGGGATGGTTTCCCAGAACTTGTGCCCCCAGCCAGGCTTGCACAGTCTGGGATATCCAGGTGTGCCTGCTGGGACCCAGCCATCACAGCCCTTCCTGTCTGCAGCCACCTCTCCACCCTGTCTGTGTTTCTGGAGCCCTTCTAACTCAGTTGCAGCTGCTGTTTCCCAACCTCACTGGACCCCCGTGCCGGAGAGGTCCTGTACTCTCAAGCTTTCTTGCTGCAGAGCTGGTGTTTCCGTGATTTAAGCACGTGGACCCGTATACAACACACACATGGTCTCCTTGCCGGTGCCTGGCTCCTGGCTCCAAGGCCTGGGGAACAGAGCCCCATTGAGACACCCTGACGTCACCCCCACTCCGTCCCCTCCCCAAAGCTGGGAACAGGCCCTCGTGTATGCTGTGTCCTGATGAGGAAAGCTGGTACAAGGGTGGTGCTGGGGTGGGCCTGGGCTTGAGGAGGGGTCGCTGCCAGAAGTGGCAGCCGAGGTCTAGGCCCGGGGGTGGTGTTGCTCAGGGAAGGAGGTTAACGAGGGGGCCTGGGACAGCTCCCAGAATGTGGGCTTGAGGGCTTTCCAGAGCCCCCCCACCTCCTTTCCGAGTTCCCTTTGTGTTGCATGTAGTCTCTCTCCCTCTCTTCTGCAAAGTTTATTTTTAGCCTCCTGCTCCCCCGCTCCCAGGACTGTCGCTGCACACACGTTGCCTGGTTACCGGGACACGGAGGCTGGGGCTGGTGGGCTGGGAAGGGTGGCTTTAATTTTGGGGGGGGAGGGTGGAAGTCAGTACACCCCTCCACCTCCAGACTGATGTCTTAGGGACTTCAGTGTCCCCCCCCCCCCTTGGGACTGGGAGTCAGATTGGAACGGAGGTGGGAGTAGTGTGGAGCTTCGTGCCCTGATGGGAGTCAGGAGATTTTTGGAGGTGGCTCCAGGGTATATGGAGGGGTGATTTGATTACTTGGGTTCACAAAGACCCCTGAACCCTAGAGGATGTCCTGGGACTTTGGTTCTCTGTAGCAGGACAGAGATAATGGGGTGACACCTGGATTCCCAAGAGAAGGATGAGGCTTGGGTGCCGGGGTCCTTAGAAGGGTTTGTCAGGGGCTGCCCCTGCTAACCTGAGTAGGGCTGCTGGTTCAGGACTCTGGGCTCAGGTCCCAAACCTCTAGAAATCAGGTTCCTGGAACCTGGCAGGGGCTGGCTGGTTTGAGGCGGGGATTTCTGAATGGGGCATATGGACTAGGGGAGGGGATGGCTGAACTGGCCATCCCTTCCTACCTAGGCCCAGGGTTCCCAAGAAGTCTGTGCAGGGGAACACTGAGAAACGAACCCATTTGGAAAAGGTGGTCCCTGAAGGAGTGGAACTACTGGTCTCTGCCTTCTCAAGGGGAAGGAACCTCTTCTGGATTTCACATTGGGGTTGAGGCTTTGGGGAGGCTCAGTCCTGCACCGAGGCCTGGTTGGTTTCTGCTTGAGCTGGGCCCAAGGGAGGGGGGTACCAGTTTGGCTAGGGCTTGGGACCCCGCCCATTTTTAGCCATATACCTTGGTCTTCTTTCTGTAGTGGCTCTAGGGCCCCTGATCTGCCTCCCTCCTTCCTTCCCTTCCTCCCCTTTCCCTCCTCCCACCCCTCCATTACCGGCTGCCTAGTGCTGAATTATTGATGGCCCCTGATTACCCGGGGGTTTGGGAAATAACAACCGCAGCCCCCCCACCCCAGGCTGCCCACCCCCCTCTAGGGACCAAGTCAGCCCACTGCCAACCTCTACCCAAGGTTACTGCTGGGGGCGGGCCAGCAGGTGGGCTGGGAGTAAACTGAGGATGAGATGGCCGGAGAGGGAGGAAGGGGACAGTTCTGGGCCTGCTTGGGCTCTGTCTGGGCCAGGTCCCTTCCATCCCGGTCCTAAGGATGGACTGGGGGAGGCCATTGTGGCTCAGAGGGTCCAGTGCTGTGGGGGGTGGAGGGGGGGCTCTCTCAGACAGTCTGGGTTTCACTCTCAAGGGAAGACAGAAGCCTCTGTGTGTGCAAGCGCTGACCTCATCGTCAACCAGCCACCCCACCCGGCCTGGTCCTTTTAAGAAAAAAAAAAAATCTTCTCCAGCTCTGGGTGGGAGTGAGAGCTTCCATGGGTCTAAGAGGAAAGATCATATATGTTTGCAAGGAGAGGACCACAAAAGCTGGGGGTGGGTGGGTGGGCACTGTTGGCTCCAAATGGAAGTAGGGGTACATAGAGAGGGCTGTACCCCCATCCTGCTGGCCACGTGTGCCCTTTCCTGCCCCTCCCCCTCCCCCACTGGCAGCCCTGCCCGCCATCCTGGCTTGGTGCCTGGCCCCCTGGCACTGGCCCCGGGACCCGCCGCCGTTGGTTTCCTGTTTCTGCCGGTGTCGCTGGAGCGGGCTGCAGCTTCCCCTCCTCCTAGCCTCCTGTCTAGCCCCTTCACACAGACACACAGACTGTCACCTTCGGGTCTGGGTCTTCGGGAGGCTGAGGGGCTGGGCAGGAGGTGGACTCTGGGGTGTCTCCCCGAGCCCCCAACCTGGCATCTTGACCCTAGGCCACTCCCTGTCTCCTGTCCCTAGGGTTTGCCTTCCCAGATTGGGCCTACAAGCCGGAGTCATCCCCTGGTTCGAGGCAGATCCAGCTGTGGCACTTTATCCTGGAGCTGCTACGGAAGGAGGAGTACCAGGGCGTCATTGCCTGGCAAGGGGACTACGGGGAATTTGTCATCAAGGACCCTGATGAGGTGGCCCGCCTCTGGGGGGTCCGCAAGTGCAAGCCCCAGATGAACTATGACAAGCTGAGCCGGGCCCTGCGGTGAGGAGGGGCTGTGGGCCCCAGAGGACATGTGGCAGGTCCCCATGGTTGGAAACCCCTGGTGCATGAGGGCAGGTTTTTGGGTTTGATGTCTAGCTCTATAAGATCTTCTAGCTGCGTGAAGTCTGTCCCTTGGAGCTCTTGGGTCACACGGAGGTGTCCTAGGCAGAGAATGTAGTCACACTGGAGCGTCTAGTGTGGTCCTCACTCTCTGGCTACTTGATTTCTCTTTTATGGCCTTAGGCTATTGGGTACCCTTTATGAGTGGCACCCAGCCACATGCCATGGTGCCCAGGTCTTGTGGAGTGTAGCTTGATGGCCCCATGGTGTTTTGTGCCCACAGCTATTATTATAACAAGCGAATTCTGCACAAGACCAAGGGGAAGCGGTTCACCTACAAGTTCAACTTCAACAAACTGGTGCTGGTTAATTACCCTTTCATCGACGTGGGTCTGGCCGGTGAGTGTGGGGGATGCATGGCCTGGAGTGAATGAAGAGGTGGGTCTTCTGTGTCCAGCATGGACCAGAGATCTTGATGCCAAATCTCCTTTCTCTTGTCAGGGGGTGCAGTGCCCCAAAGTGCCCCTCCAGTGCCGTCGGGTGGCAGCCATTTCCGCTTCCCTCCCTCAACGCCCTCCGAGGTGCTGTCCCCCACCGAGGATCCCCGATCTCCACCGGCCTGCTCTTCATCTTCCTCTTCTCTCTTCTCTGCTGTGGTAGCCCGACGTTTGGGCCGCGGCTCAGTCAGTGACTGTAGTGATGGCACCTCAGAGCTGGAGGAGCCTTTGGGAGAGGACCCCCGGGCACGACCACCTGGCCCTCCAGAGCTGGGTGCCTTCCGAGGGCCCCCCCTGGCCCGCCTCCCGCATGACCCTGGTGTCTTCCGTGTCTACCCCCGGCCCCGGGGTGGCCCCGAACCCCTGAGCCCCTTCCCTGTGTCTCCTTTGGCGGGGCCTGGCTCCCTTCTACCCCCTCAGCTCTCCCCAGCTCTGCCTATGACCCCCACCCACCTGGCCTACACACCCTCACCCACGTTGAGTCCCATGTACCCTAGTGGCGGTGGGGGCCCTGGTGGCTCAGGGGGAGGCTCGCACTTCTCCTTCAGCCCCGAGGACATGAAACGGTACCTGCAGGCCCACACCCAAAGCGTCTACAACTACCACCTCAGTCCCCGCGCCTTCCTGCACTACCCTGGGCTGGTGGTGCCCCAGCCCCAGCGCCCTGACAAGTGCCCGCTGCCGCCCATGGCACCCGAGACCCCGCCGGTCCCCTCCTCAGCCTCGTCTTCCTCTTCCTCCTCTTCATCCCCGTTCAAGTTTAAGCTGCAGCCGCCCCCGCTCGGACGCCGGCAGCGGGCAGCTGGAGAGAAGGCTCCAGCAGGCGCCGCCGCCGACAAGTGTGGCGGGAGCCCAGGGGGGCTGGCTGAGGGGGCAGGGGCATTGGCCCCTCCGCCGCCGCCGCCACCCCAGATCAAGGTGGAGCCCATCTCAGAAGGCGAGTCCGAGGAGGTGGAGGTGACTGATATCAGTGACGAGGATGAGGAAGACGGGGAGGTGTTCAAGACCCCCCGGGCCCCACCTGCTCCCCCCAAGCCAGAGCCCGGAGAGGCACCTGGGGCGGCCCAGTGCATGCCCCTGAAACTTCGCTTTAAGCGGCGCTGGAGTGAAGACTGTCGCCTGGAGGGGGGCGGGGGCCTCTCCGGGGGCCCTGAGGACGAGGGTGAGGACAAGAAGGTGCGTGGGGACACAGGCCCTGGGGAGGCCGGGGGGCCCCTCACCCCACGGCGGGTGAGCTCTGACCTCCAGCACGCCACAGCGCAGCTCTCCCTGGAGCATCGTGATTCCTGAGAGCCGTGGGCAAGGGCCCCGTGTGCCCCCCCTTCCCTGAGCTTTTGCTGCCTTAACCCCCTCCCCCCCCAAAGCCCTGGAGGTGAGGGCAGCTCCCTCAGTCTCCTCCCTGCCTCCTCCCTTTCTCCTCCCCACATTTTGTATAAAACTTTTAAATTTTTTTTTTTTAATGGTAGGGTGGGTGGGTGCCCAGGACTAGGGGCTAATCTCCTTATCTCTGGGTTTCTGAGTTCTGGGCAAAGTGGTGGTGGGGGGCGGGAGGGGGGTGTTAAGGGGGGGCACCTCCATTCTGAGGATTTCTATTTGAACAGAGGCTCTGGCCTTGAACACCCAGGAACTTTTTTTTAAAATTACAATCGTAGGAAGTAAAGCCTTGTCTCCCTCCCTCTTCTCTGCCTCTTACCTCGTCCTCCCCCCTTCACACCCCACCCCCAGCCCTGACCCTGCCTTCCTTGCCCCTCCAGGGGCTGTGAGTGCCTGGGTTTCTTATACCCCACAAGGTTGCAGCAGGGGCCAGAGGGACAATTTTATAAACCAAAAATTCTGTGGGGGTGGTGGGGTGGGAGGCAGAGGAAGGCGAGGGGTGCCGCCTATGGGCCACAAATCTCTACAAGTGCCTGTCCCCCACCCCGCCCCGGTCCTGGTCCAGTCCCCTCACACCCACCCCCAGCTGCTCCTAGGTCTGGCCCATGGGCAGGTGGGTCAGGGGACAGGAAGGGGGTCCCTTGAAACCAAACTGGAAGCCCCTCTCTGCCTCCCGGCTGGGGTCCCAGGGGTGGCCTGGAGGGCTGTGGTCAAGCCTTATTCTGTATTGGGAATGGAGGGTGGGGTGGGACCTAAGGGGCTGCTGGAGAATGTATTCAAAACAATAAAACTTTGGACCTTTGCCTGTGGTAATCTGTCCTAGGTACTGGGTGCAGCCAGCCGCAGCATCGCCACAGGCTTGCCTTAATTCTGGACAGGTCTAGACACACCTGCTTCCACCTGAACAGGTCACATAGGCCTGGGGAGTTACTGGCCTGCTCTCAGGTGGCACAAACCTCAAAGGTGATGATTAAGGTCTCTGGCTTTCTCTGGTCTGGTATTCCTTGACTGGTTTCTTACCATCCAAGCTGCCTCTGGACCCTCACCAGGGTTGAGCCTGTTGTCTCTGGTTCTCCTGTTATCTGAATTGCTTTTCCCTCCGGCTCTGACTGCTAAGCCACACCCTGATCAGGTCCCCAGTTGAGGGTCTTGTACTTCGAACTACTCTAGTACGCTGCTCATCTCCCTTAAATGTACAAGGAGGAGGGTTTAGTGGTCCGCACCTATAATTCCAGCACTTGATGAGGTAAGTTTAAGACCTGCCTGGGCCATATAACAAAAGGGGAGTGTTGTGTTATCACTGCTGGGATCCTTCTGCAGTGAGCCCGGCAATGTCTTGAAATGCAGATCTTGGGCTGGAGAGTCTGCTCTTCCAGAAAAATCTCAGTTCCATTCCCAGGTCCCATGTAGGGTGGTCATGACAACTGGTAACTCCAGCTCCAGGGCATCTGTTGCCCTCTTCTGGCTCCTGGCATCCATGCAGAATTGGCATACATTCACACAGATTTACACATTAATAAAAATCTTTTAAGGAATTTATATGAGTGTTTGGTCTATATGCATATTTGTGTTATCCTGTGTGCTGACTGTGCCCCAGGTCAGAAGAGAGTGTCAGATGCTCTGGAAGGAGATAGAGATGGCTATGAACTTGGATGCTGGTAACTGACCCTTGGACATCTGCAAGAGCAGCCAATGCTCTTCTTAACCATCAAGCCATCTCTCCAGCCCCAATAGAACTAAATCTTAAACCCTCCAAGATAATGGGTAATCTGTGTCCCACCAGAGTGATACCCCTAGCCAGCGGGTCTTGCGAGGGATTTATCCCATTAAAGGTAGCTGGTCTCGACATACCGTGTGTCATATATCCAAGCATTTTGGTTCTTTAAGTATTCAACAAAGGGCTTCATTAAACTTGCCAATGACCTAGAGCTGAGATATTCAGTCAAGTGGCTCCAAATCCTGTGGTCTTGCAACAACTGGATTTTCCAGTGGCAAGCCAAGATGGCTGATTCCAGATCAAGGTGTCCGAGATCTTAGGATTTGGTCGATGATGAGCTCATAAAGCTAGAAAACCAGATTGGAGAGCTGAGTCCTGAAGGAACTATTAACAAGCATGAAGAATTCAGGTTGTGATTGCTGGTGGATACAAACCCCACCTGAGCAGTGCAGGTGTGATGCCTGAGGCCCAGAAAGGGGGAAGGGGTTCCCCCAAGGCCATACAGTTGCTAAGCGATAAGAGTGGGAATTGAGAACTCAGGCCTGTTGGACTGGCTTCGCTATAAAACACCACCCTGTGCGGCCCTGAGGGGGAACGAACATTGAACTGGCAACTGCTGTCTACTCTTGCACTTAAACTTCAGCCCGTGCCAACCCCGGGGTGGGTGGTCCCAGATGATGCCTTCAGTTGGCAGTGAGGAGACGATCCAGGACTGGGATACTGGCAAGAAACAGGCTCCTGTGGCAGCCTGTGGGCAACTGCTCCCTCTCCTGGGTGATGTAAGCCATTCCCTGGGGTGGGAACCACTGGGTTATTTCTGGAAGTTGGGATGAGACATATCTCCTGGCAACGTAGATGCAGCTGAATTGCTAGTGGGGTGATAGAGGAAGGCGGATGTTGTCATTGCAAGAAAGAAGCAGGACTGGTTAGTAGCCTCAGCAGAACCCTTCAAAGCACTTCTAATCACATGACTGGTAAGTGTTCAGCTTCAGAACCTGTCCAGAGGTCAGACCTTGGTCTAATCAAACTTGTTACCCCAGATTTTGACTGTGTGGGATGTCACAGGTAATATTTGGCCTTAAAGACAACAGCTCTCCCCAGGTCTTTAATCGCCCACCTAAATCCATTTGCAGGCCTGGAACATTTCCTGCAAAATGCCCTGAGCCCAGTGTAGTGGCACATGCCTCAAGCGCTGGGAAGGCTCAGCCGGTAGGAGGATGGCTTCTGGTTCGAGGCTAGCCTTGCTACAGAACAATACCCTATTTCTTCTCCTTTTTGGTTTTTTGAAACAAGGCTTCTCTGTGTGGCTCTGTTTGTCCTAGAACTCACTCTGTAGACCAGGCTGGTCTTGAACTCAGAGATCTGCCTGCCTCTGCTCCCCAAGTGCTGGGATTAAAGGTGTGCACCACCATGGCAGAGGAGGCTCTATTTCAGAAGAGAAGAAGAGAGGGCTGGAGATGTGGCTCAGTTGGTAGAGCGCTTGTTTTCCATGTTCAAGACCCTTGGGTTCAGTTCCCAGCATCACAAACCCGTCTTAGTGGTACACGCCTGTAATCCCAGCATGGCCTAAGCAGGAAGGTCAGGAAGACATCTTTAGCTTCGTAGTGAACTTGAGGCCAGTGTGAGCTGAGACCCTGTTCTCAAAAGAAACAACACAAAAGACACATGACTTTGGTCCTGAGATCTTTGCTTCTAACTAGAAAGTCCTCAAATCTTTCAAGGGCATTTTACAGATGAATTCATTCCACCTAAAATCCCATTCGCAACAATAGCCCTCCTCCCATGAACCCACACAACTCCAAAGTCTCTCCCTTGTGTTTCTTAGCCATCCTTCACCTGTTCAGGCTGCTCGGAGATCTTCGTAATTTCTCATTCTCTCACATACCTTTCACAGAGATCTCTTGAGATTTCTCCATCATGCCCCAAACAATTGTTTTCCGCCTCTTATAGTCTATCAAAGACTTCTTTTATCTCTTCATGGCTCCCCATCAATTCCTCCAAACATCTTTAGGACCCTCTTAGACAGTTGGAAACATTTTACAGATCATCTCTGACATTCGCCCTCCAATGCCCCAACGGAGCTCAATGCAAAGACCAGCCCACTGCTCAGGTCCCACGGGTTCTGGCGGTTAAATAATCAGTTATATTCTGCCGCACACCCGAGTGAGACTTCTTGGTCCTATACCTTAGGGCTTGACTTAAATTTTACTTTTCAACTCCGAGCAGCCGTCAGAGGGCGGCAGCCATCCATTCGTCTGTGCTGCTCCAGAAACGCCCTCTCCAGTCCGAGCATGAAGTGTGCAGGCTTGCAAAGGGGACGGAAGTACTCGCGCTTTGCCTTCTGGATAACGTAGTCTAAAGAGGCGTTAGCCCTAATCTGTCTCCGTGTCCAGTGAGAATTGCAGTCGGGAACTGACCGAGTCGACTGGACGTTAGGCTTCAGAAAATCCCCAACAATTAGTACGAACACAGGCTGCAAGTAAAGTAAAGCACAGAGAGAGGACAGCACTTTGATCACACACACAGTTTCCCAGTATCCTTTGGAGCTACTTCTTTTCTTCCGGGTATTAGTCGGTAAACGGGGCGCCTCAACAGGCGCAGGAAAGCTGAAACTGCTTTTTGTAGCCGGTCCCCTTCTTTTGGATTCTCTAGGATCCTGTAATTTAGAAAATTGAGTGGGGGTTCAGGACAGAAATAGTTATCTACCTACCTACCTATATATAATATATAACTGGGCAGCTCACCCTCTTGGTCTTAACCATATTACTAGAGAAAGGTAGGATATCTGAAAACAAGTGTTCTGAGACACGGGACTGTTTATCCAGTCCTTTGAGAACGCCGGGAGGAAACGTTTTTCTCTTCCCAATATGTGGCCACTTGGGACTCCTTTTTCCAGCAGTCACGGATCGGCTTAGGCTCATTCTTAGGACCTAGGGACCAGGGAGGAGACATTGTAACTCATTACAGTTCCCCCTGGGAACTGCCGTCCTTAACCTTTCACCCACACTCCCGGCCACAGGGCTCCCTGTGGACTACAGTTCCCAAGAAGCCTCTGCGCCTAGCTTCACAAAGAGTCAGATTCCACTGTGGACTTTTCCCAGCATGCTCTGGCTGATGGTAGCTCCCATCCTCTTCCTCAAAGCTGTCTTGAACTTCATTTCCCAGAAGACATCAGGCTCACTGAAGCAACGCACTTAACTCTTGGTGTCGACTACATTTCCCGGAAGGAACTGCGGCGCAGCTAACTGGGCAGAGAGAGTGCGATGCCTACTCCATTTCCTACCCTATCTTTTCCAGTTACAGTATGTACTTGGGGTGTGAGGACCACTTGAGACTTCATTTCTTCGCGTGCTTTATAAGCCCGTCTACACCTGCAATGCGGTGAGGGCGTGGTGACGACTCCATTTCCCAGTGTGCTTCACAGTTCAAGAACTGAGTATTCGCGAGTGCGGACTCGATTTCCCAGAATGCACCCGGCTCAGGAAGTCTCCGACAGCCCATAGAGTAGGCGGGTAACTGGACTCCATTTCCCGGCATGCCTCTGGCTTGGATGCCGCTCGAGAATGAAGTAGATAAGGTTTCATTTCTGATACCCGATGGGGTTTGCTGTTGCATCTGTGTCGTGAGTGTGTGGCTCTGGCTGTGTTTTCCGATCATGTTGTCTTCTGGCAGAGTCGGATGACATTACCCAGGACTCTATTTCCCGACGTGCAGCGCGGAACCCCCGCGGCGCCCCCCCCCCCGCGCTGCCTGCTACTCTGAGGTCTTGAGAACTCCATTTCCCGGCGTGCTGTGCGAGTCGTGGGTGGCGACAACGAAGCCGACCGCAGAGGGACTTCATCTCCCGGCGTGCCCCGCGGCGGGCGCTGGGCCGGAGCCGGAGCCCGAACGGCGCGGCCTGGAAGAGGCCGGAGCCCAGGGGAGGCGGCGGCAGAGGCA